TTTTATAATACTGATTATTTATTACAGCTTTATCTTCCCTTAAAAATCAGGTGTATTCACTGCTTTATGCAACCTCTCTTCATTAAAGGAGGGCAGAATCCACACCTAAATTAAGCCATTTTATGTGACCGTATGGTCTGTCTTTCCACTGAGGTCACACTCTCCTAATAGAGAATGCCTCCTGCCCCGGGATTGAAGGATTAGAAGGAGATTGTGTCAGGCCTCTGGGGACTAGCCCACGGGAGGAGGTCTTCCCGCTGGCCAGGGGTGGACAGCTGGGTGCCCCCAAGGGCCAGTGGCTGTGCTCCGGAGCTCAGCCTGGGTGTCAGGCCCAGCTGCTGGCTCTGGCTCCGTGGCTGCCCCCGCCGATGTGGGACGGGGCAGGTGGGAGGGCCGGGAGGGCCTGGCTCGGTTCACTAGAGGAAATGCGGGCAACCTGGGTAATGTGTAAAGACGGGCTCTGGCACAAAGTGTCAGGCAAGACCCCCCTGCCGGCCGTACTGCTGCAGCCCCTGTAAGTAAAGGCCACAGAAGGACAAGCTTCCTGTAGTGCGAGCATCGGGGTGAGTGTGTGCATGTCGGGTGGAGGAGGCAGCTGCAGACAAGTCCCCCCACCCCGATTTAGCTCAAGGCTTATATTGAAGGGAGCCTTGTGGTTGGGAAAGCAGGGTGAGGGGGCAACACTTGTGCCAAATGGAGGCTCTGTCCTTCCTTCGCTCTCCTATTTTCTGGAAACGGGCGTCCAGTGGTGGGTGGTGGTTGGCTGTGGCCATTATGTTGTCCAGCCCAACCCACCCCCTGTAGTGGGGCACTGTGGGCTCAGGATGAAGTGACTTGCCCAGGGCTGCCCAGGGAGCCAGCAAGAGAGTCCCAGGGCACTTTCCTCTGCATCTGGGTGATGGTGAAAGGAAGAGGGTGGGGTGACATTCCTTCTGCACCCTGACCATAGGGGTCCCAGAGGTCTAGCTTCAAGTGCTGCCCTGGCTCGTGGTAGCGTCTGAGGCCCTCATACTCAAAGTCAGCCTTTCAGTGGGGAAGGACGGAGTGAAGGAGCCCTGGGAGTTGGTCCACGACTTACCCACAGACACAGATAAGCCACCCGTGGCAAACTGCGAGCTAATTAAAAAATTAATAAGCTAGAGATTTCCATCCCTACAGAGGCCCAAATAAGGTTAGACAAGCTTTTGCTATGGCTCAAGGATCTCAAATTAGATGCCAGAAAGGAGCTTCAGGAAAACAAGCCCACCAGCCTGTGGGTCTGTGCTGGTCTGGACAGGCCGGGCTCCTTAGCGCCCCAGCTGCTCTGTGGCAGGGCAAGGCCCAGGGCATCCCGCAGTGAAAGCTACGGGCCGTGGGTTCTCTGCCACCTCCTCCCGACCCCTCCACTTCTCAGGCGGCCCCTTCAGAGGCCCTTCCCGGGGTGTGGTCTCCGAGGCGGTGGGAGGTCTCAGCTAAGCCTGGGCTCCAGGCCGCCTGGCCTCGTCAGTTTATTATTGGCCTGGGCGACAGCTGGGAATGGTAAGGACACATCGGAGGCGGGGTGCAGTGGTGCTGGGCCATCCTAAGCCCCCAAGATCTCACATGCCATATGGTGGAGGCCGAGGAGGCAAGCGGAATGACGGGAATGTCTGTGTGTTCTCTCCCTGCAACTCCCATGCCCAGCGGGATGGCCCGACCCCAAAGAAATGTACCAGTGGGCCTTTGGAAGCCATGTGTCTCTCCTGGAGACATTTTTAAAAAAACCATTTTTTGCCTGAATGACTGAATAAAGTAAGAGGGATCTGGCTATTTTCTCTTTGCACCAAGCTCTGAACGAGGGAAAATGAGCTTTACTTAGAGCGACAGAGGAATAAATGTAAGGCTGCTGCTGGCCAGCAGTGACTCCACACTGGGCCAGAAGGTGGCGCCTGGGGAAGATGCTCAGAAATAGCTGCCGGACAGTGGGACATGGGATGGGGGACCCAGGGATCCTTAGTGGCTCCCACTCCTGATAAAATGCCCCCCAACCTCTCAGAGGCAGCGCCACCTAAAATGCCTTTGCCATCCCTGCCTAGGCTGTGTCTCTGATGGTGCTGCTTCCTCAGCCAGGGTCCTTCCCTGTGTCCCCCAGACTCAATGATGGCAGGCCCCAGAGTCTAGGAAAAGCACGTCTGTCCCAGGAGAGAGCCTTCCAATGCCCGGAGAGTGTCTTCTGGGCTTTGACTAGCAGGGTGAGGGTCGAGTCAGGGGGGAGGAAGGAAGCAGAGAGGACTAGGGAAGCTGGGTCCCTGAGCCTGGACCCCCTGGAGATCGCTGGGGGGACCTGCAGGCTCCCTCAGTGGGAGCAGGTGAGGATGCCTCTAGATAAACCACCTTTCCAGGAGGTTCAGAACAGTCCGTGGGACTGTCAACGATCTGAGTCCACTCCAGCGACCTCTGGGAAAATTGAAGATTCCGCCTGACTCAGCCCTCTCCAGGGCTTCTGGGGAGGGACAGACGGAAGGGAGAGAGAAACAGCAACCTCTCCAACTTCATCTCAAATAGAGCTCTTACCCAGGGAACACAGAGATTCGGAGTTCTGAGTAAAACAAAAAGCAGGCTTTAATGCCACCATCCCCCTTAGACCCGTAGAGGAGGCTCTTTGGACTAGGGAGCAATAAAAGGTTTCGGCTCTCAACCCACTCAAGGAAAAATAGGGAATGCAGCAGTCCTGTAACCGCTGAAAGACACTGAATGAGCCGTTGCAAATCATCCTTTAAAAAAGCATGGAGCCAAGATGGCCTTCCTAGTGACAGCTACCCAACATTCAAGGAACAGATAAGTCCTTTGACACAACTCTTTCAGAGAGGGAACCTCCCCAACTCATTTTATGAGGCTAGCAAAATCTTCATACCCCAAATCCGTTTATTATTAGCCTGGATGACTATAAGGGGTTGGTAAGGACATCCTAGCATGTAAGAAAGAAAACATTCAGGCCATGTTACTCATTACTGTATAAACGCAAAGTGAGACACAATGTTAACCAGAGGCCAGCAATGTGCAAAAATGATAATCTGTTATGGCCAAGTTGGATTAATCTTGGCAATGCAAGGTGAATTTAACAGGAGAAAACTGATAATATAATTTACTTCATTAACAGAATAAAAGCAAACATCTATTATAAATAAAAACCATTTGACAAATGGCCCTTCTTATGGAAACTCTCAGGAAACTAGAAAAATAAAAGCAAGCTTCCTTCATTTTAAAGAAGACATATACAAAAAACCTACAATAACCAGTGTACCTAACATTGAAAGTTGTCAACATCGCTTTTCAGCCAGGAACAAGATAAAGATGCTTGTTATTACAACTTTTATTCATCACTGTCCTGGAGGTCTTAGCTAGCACAGTCGACAAGAAAAATAAACAAAAGGCATAAGGTTTGGAATGGAAGAAACCAAACCCATTTGTGTAGATATGATTGTCTACATATAACACTCTACAATAATCATTGATATTAATAGGAGGGTTTGAAAAGTTGCTGGAAACAACATTGATATCCAAACATCCATGACATTATTATACATTGGCAACAATTATTTAGAAAATTTAATTTTTAAAAAGGATAAAATTCATAATACAACAGTAATCAAAAATTTTAAAGTAGGCATAAATATGACAAAAGATTATGAGATCTTTAAGAAGAAAATTTTTTAACTCTATTAAGATATATTTTAGAAGATATGTCTATTTAGCTATAACTGTTAGAAGATACAGTTATGATATGTTTTTAGACTGGAAGACTCAATATCATCAAGATGTTAATTCTCCTCAAACTGACCTATAGATTAAATGCAATTCTAATCAAAACCTAAACAGAATTTTTAATGGAATTTGGCAAGATTATAATACTTAATGAAAAGTAAGGGCTATGAATAGCAAGACATTCTTGAAACAAAGAACATACTGAAAGGATTTATCCTACTAGATATGGAGACTTACCATAAGGCGTTAGTAATAACTTAGTGAGTGATGGCAGCAGGGTTGAAAAGTAGATTAAGGAATTAAACAATACCTATGCATATAGTGAAAACTGATGTAGTACTATAAAAAGGGTAGATTATTCTATAAATGATGCTTGGACAACAGGTTATCCATTTGGAAGAAAAGGACTCTAACTCATAGCACACTCAAATGTAAACTTCAAATTTAAGGATTAAAGACTTAAAGAAAAAGATCTATAGAAGTTTTAGAGGGCAATTTAGGGAAATATCTTTTTGACTCAGACTAGAGACAGTCTTAGACAAGATACAGGAAGCACAAACCACTAAGGATAAGGTCACTAAATTTGACTACATTGAACAGCACCCAAGGAGAATGACAGCCAAGAGTCAGAAGGAGAGATGGTGCAGCCAGACCTGTAACTATCAGAGGATTCCTGCTCAGAATATGCAATGAACTCCTACATCTCAATAACAGAGACAAACAACCCAGTAAAAAAATTGGGCAAGAGACAGAACAGACTCCTCAGAAAAGAACAAATGGAAATAGCCTGTTGGCATAGGAAAAGAGACTAAAATCAAGAGTTATTAAGACAATGCAAGTTGAAGCCATAATGAGATCCCATTTTGTATCTGTCAGATTGGAACCAAGTGGGGTCTAGCAGTGGTGAGAATGGGGTGCACCTGGAGCTTTGCCATGGAGGGAAAGCAGGCCCAACCACTTTGGGAAAACATCTGCCTATGCCCAGTCCAGTTGAACTTGCATGCACCCCACATCCCATCAGTTTCACTCCAGACAAATTCTACACGTACATACCAAGAGACATGCACAAAAGCATTCATAGCAGTGCTGTCTCCATTAGCCCCAAACCGGAAACAACCCAAATGGCTGTTGATGGCAGAATGAATAAACTGTGGGATAGTCTCAGGATGCAAAACAATTCAGCAGTGAAAATGTGTGAGTTAGCTGTGTGAGGTGTAAGTGGGCCACAGAAGGTACCACGCAGTATCTTTCTATTTATATGAGGCTCAAAAACAGACCAGAATCAATAATACTTTATTTAGGAATGCACACACAGTTGGTAAACTATAAGAAAAAGGACAGAATGAATCGCCAAAATCTAGCCGGGGGATTGGGGAGGGGGCTGCACAGCGCTACCACACCAAAGGCTGGTTATGCTCTGTTTCCTGACCCTGGTGATGGATTCATGGGAGATGCTCAAAACACTCTTTAAACACTCTTTTGTCTATGTGGTAGATTTCATAACTGAAACAATTCCTTTCAAACTGTACTGCTCAGAGCTGGTCACACTAACGGTTCAGGCAGCACCGGCTTCAAAGGCTGCTCCATACATGGTGCATCTCCCAATTTGTGAGTTTAAGTGGGTGGAGGCTGTGGGGCGGTCTGGTGAGTAAAGGAAGAAAGTCTTGTTCAAAAAGTAGTATTTGCTTTGGGGCAGGGGTTCAATCCAGATATGACACCCGACATCTGGGGGTCCCTCAGGAGAAACTGGCATGGACGAAGTTAACATCGACATTGGGAGCGCCCAGGACCAAATCTGGGTGGGCGACAGGAAGTGAGAGCAGGAGGAGAAAGCCGGGTAGGTGAGGGCTCTGTTCTTGCTGGGTGAGGAGTCGCTGATGGCAGTTGAATGTGGAGAGTGACAGGATTTGACCCAAGTTTAGAAAGACTGAGGTGGCCACTCTGTGGGGGGTGGTCTGCGTGAGGGAGGGGCAGGAAGCAGGGAGAACCCAAGACCCTGGGAGGTGGTGCTGAGCTGAGCAGAGGCAGGCATCTGGGTCTGGGGGGAGCAGGGCGTGGGGCCAGAGACCTCTGCGTCTGTGTGGGGCACAGGCACCCCCATACGGAAACCGCCACCTGGACTCCATGTGGAGCAGCTCCGAGGCTCTCCCGTGTGTGGGTATGGCATGTCCCCTTCCTGCTGAGACCTCAGGGTAAGGGGGCCTGTGCAAAACCGGACCTGCGCTCTGCACTGAGGACAGGCAGGGTGGGGGCGCGGGGAAGTCATCTCTACAGGGAGCTGGCTCTGGCTGTACCCCTGCGGGAGGGGAGGCCACTTCCTCTCCCCCCACCATCCCCAACTCCAGCTGCCTGCCAGAGCCCACCCCAAAACCAGTGTGGTGAGTGCTTGGCAAACTGGACCATTAAGTTATGTGTACATTTTTTCCCAATAGAATGACCACCATTTAACCCGAAGCTGCAGGGACTACTTGGATTATTCTGTTTGCAAAGACTCCTGTGTGTGCGTGCTCTTCTGGCCCATCTTGGCCCACGGAGGCCTGGTGCTGGACTTAAATATCTGTAAAATAAGGGTAATAACTGTTACTGCCTCATCTGGCAAATGGGAGCAGCGGTTGAGATCAAACATGTGAGGGACCTGAAACAGGGTTTCTCTCAAAGTGAGTGCGCTTAGTCCCAGGGGTCCGGAGTAGCATTTCAGTGCTGAGCGGTGGGAAGCAGAGCCCTTCAGGCAGGGAAAAGCTCTTCTCTGCTGCCATCTGCTGCTCATTTTAGGAATAACACAGAGTGTAGGTCAGCAGGAAATGCTCTTCTCTCTCCAAAGGCTTCTGAGCTAATAAAGAATGTGCCAGACCCAGGCCCAGGCCCCAGATTCCATCACTTGTGCCCTGGAAGCCTCCTGCTGAAATGTGGACTCGAGGTGAGACCTGGCGCCGGCCTGTCACTCCTTAATGGGCCACCTTCCCACCTGGCTGAGACCTGTACACATGCTTTATGCCACCCGCCCCACCTGGCATCCCACCTGCCCCAGGGAAGTTTTTTAATGAATGTGTGCTTAGAGGGCGTCTGTAAGTCACCATATCTAGGGGAAGTGGAGTGCAAATCAAAGATTCATTTTGCAAGTAAAAGAGGCAGCCCAGGAGGACCACAGCAGAAGGAGCCCAAAGCAGAGAGTAGAAAGACCAGAGAGGGGCTTGCAGGAGCCGGATCCGAGCCCTGGGGAGGGCTGGGGAGGGGGACTGTAGAGCAAGCCTAGGCCCTAGCTAGGGACTGGGGCTGGGGGTGCCTTGGGGATTCAGCCCCAGGTGCAGCATTTGCAGGGGGCCCTGAGCACCAGGCTCTTCAGGCAGTTTTGCAATAGCGGCCGCCCCTGCCCAGCACCGCCACCCAGAGGGAGTAGCCGAGGCATCCTGACTGTTGCCATACAGCCCATCAGCTTTACCCTGGCAGAAGGGGTTCTTATCCAAGCCAGGGCTGTGCTCAGGTTCAGAGGGCTGGCCCGCTGTGGGGCCTCCAGGCTCTGGGACGCCTGAAGCCGCATGTGAAGGGCCTGGGAGGGGTGAAGATTCAGCCAAGGCTCCCCCAGGAGACCCCAGTCTGGCAGCCATGCACACAGGCGGCAGCCACAGGCAGGCAGGAGCTCCACATCCCACAGCCAAGTACCCAGGCAGAGAACAGACACGCAACCCCGCCTACAGCTGCGGCTCTGCTCAGCCGGGAACACAGGGCGCGTGCGCAGCAGGCCGTCTGTGGCCGTGGCCATGCGAGGCTGAGGGCCTGTGGGGACCTCACACCACAGACCAAGGGAGGCTGTCTCCTTGAGGAGAGAGGAGCCAGGCGCTGCAGCAAGGCCCAGGACCCTGGAGGGAAGCCCGTTGACCGATACCCCGGGCGGGCATCGCCGCGATCAGGAGGAAGAGAGGCGCCAAAGACAATCGCTTAGGCAGTGTCCTCAGCTACTGAGGGGTGTGTGAAATTCGGAAGATGGCCATACCGGGGCGAAGTCATTTCTTCGGGGGTCGGGATCTGCAGATCAGGGGGCGGGGTCGCATCCTACCCCTGGAATTCAGCCCCTGGCCCCTTACTCACTCAGCTCCGTCTGCAGTGTCTTGATGAGGGGGTACTGGCCCTGATTACAGAAGAGGCCCTTGAAGTCGTCCATGTCCAGTGACCACACCATGGCCCCGCCCAGGCCCTTCTGCTTCAGGTAGTTGACCTATGTGAGGAGGCAGCTGAGGGCGGAGGAGCAGAGGGACCCTGGCCAGGCCGACCCCAGAGCCTGGCGTCCTCATCTACACGCAGCCCTTGCTCCTCCAGCACCCACCGGCCCACCAGTGGGCGAGGCTGCTGGCCACAGCCCTGAGCTGGGAGCCTAGTGGCTGAACCCTGGTCCCCCACCAGCCATGAGTCATTTTGGCATGGGGTCGGGGCGAGGGCAGAGGTGTGAGCAGTGATGGGAGCATGGCCCTCCCTAGGCTGGGAGCCTTAACATCTCAGACTTTTCTGGGCAGAGCTGCTGTGTTTGGGGTCACTGTCTGCTGGTCCTGATGAGCTCAGTTCCCAGAGGGAACAACTAAGTTTCCTTAGAGATCTGAACTGGTTCCTTGTCTTCATGCCTTTGTCCTCCTTGATGGCCTTCTCTCCTCCACCAGATCCCCAACGCTCCCTCAGGGTGTGGCTGTGTGTCCCTGCAGAGGATGTCCTTGTCCTCTGACCCTGCCAGGGGGCCATGGCCCACCCCTGCAGTGAGGCTAAGGTTGTTCTGGAAACTTGCTAGCCCCAGTCTCCCTGTCCAGCTACTTCCCCTCCAGCTGGGCAGAGCTATAGCTTGTTCTCTGCATCCACCCTCCCCAGCAGGCTTTACTCCCACTTTCTGCCCACCCCTTCTGCTTTAGGACTCTCAGAGACCCTCCCTCCTGACCCCTTCCACCCCCCAGCCAACAGTTCTCTCTGGCACTTTGTCGCACCTCTAGAAACACCTGCCACTGTCCAACCTGCACGATAACTGGCATGAGATGCCCGGAAGAACAGTGCAGGCCCCTCTGCAGGAGCTAACGATCCTGTGGCGAGAGAGGCACTCCAACAGATGCATGAAAGACTCGAGCCCCCGGTGCTGGGCAGGAGTGGGGAGTCATGACATCAATCACAAGGTCTACAGTTTGAACATGCACCGAATATTGTCAATAGATGAATAAAATGACATGTCTTACTGTATGTATTTCTCCTCTTCATATGTCTGTAGAATTTATATTTAATAAGATATAAATTCTTTCATGAGTGCTACTCAATGTAGAGCAATTTTTTGTCACGTGTCTTTTCTTAATCAATATGTGGTAAAGGTACAAAATGCTGTGACACGGGGATCTGTGAAATGCTCAGATATTTTAAAGGCTCTGACTACTGTCACTCAATGTGATTGACAGGCCTTGGGCCCACTAGGACCACCCCCTTCTCAGCAGGGCTGGGCCTCACCTTTGTTTTGAAGCTCTCCACATCGTCAAAGCCCACCCACTGGTTGCCCTGGACGGCATAGGGCGCCTTTTGCTCCTCGATTCTGTGTTTAGCGGCCTCCTTCCAGGAGCAGACCTGTGGAAGCAGAGGGCAGGGTTGGGGGGGAGGCAGGGAGCCCCCCAGGCCTCTGCGCCTCCCAGACAAGAAGAGACTAGACGTGGACCGTTCCTATCTGAGGAAGCTTGGAGAACCTGGGAGGTTCTAGACTGAGTGACCTAGAACCCTGGATTCAGTACGGCCCCTGGGCTGAAGGATTGCTCCAAGAAGACAGGGACGGAATGGAATTTACCCGGCCAGAATCTGCTATGCCTAGCCTCGTCACTCAGAAACCCGGGAGAATGCGTCCCCGCACCCCCCAGGACTTGCGTGGCTGGAGGTGTCCCTACCTCATAGTAAGACAGCACTCCTGCCTCTTTGGTGAAGGGGCCAGGGGCTCCGGGCCCTGTGGCTGGGGCCCCCACTCCACTGTCAGATGAGGCCAGGGTGAAGGATCGTCCGTAGGTGGGCATGCCAAGGATCAGTTTGTTGGCAGGGGCCCCCTTCTGCAGCCACTGTTGCACAGCAAAGTCCTAATGGGGGAGAAGGAGGGGCAGGGCTTTGTCTTCAGCCTGGCTCTGGCCAGCCGAGGCTGGGGTCCAGAGGAGCTTCACGGGCCTTCATTCATGTTCCAGTGCTGCCCTGTCTACTTGAGATCCTGTCCTAGACCCTCGGTCCCAGGGAAAGAGGCTGTGTGGCACTCTAGCCAAGAGTGTGGCTGTGGAGTCAGACAACCCTTCACTGAGCAAATACTTACTGCCAGCCGGCTATGTGCCAGGCAACTGTACTGGCTGTTTGGGGTAGATCCCTCAGTGAACAAAGCAGCTGAGGTCCTTGCCTTACTCAGCAGCTTATTTAACTGCCTGAGCCTCAGACTTCCTGTCTGCAAAATGAAATTATAAAAATATCTACCTCTATGGGCATGGTGAGAATTGAAGGATATAATGCACGCATAAGATTCAGGGAAGGGCAGCTAGGATCATGGCCGTGCTCATCACTGGGTTGTAGTCTCACCACGAGCACCAGCACAGGAAAGAGGCTCTGCTTTCTCTCTGCGTCCCCAGGACCTAGAACAATGCTCCACACTTAGATGATCAAACAAAAAGATCAAGAAAGTACCTGGCTTCCTCCTCAGCCTGCCCCCATTAGGTATTACTTGACCTACTACCCCAGGCCTGGGACACGGGGAGGTACCCAGTACAAAATGTGGGGTAGATAAATAGTGAAGCGTCTTCCCTCCAGCCGGAATGATAGGCTCACTTTCCCCGAGAAGCTGCACTCACCTCGAGTCACTACTTAGGTGAGGAGGAATGCTGGTGATATTTACTTTTATTTATTTATTTTGCCGGTCTACACTTTTATCTTTGATCAGCCTGGAGCTTTCTGGGGGCAGAGGGCAGGGCCCCTTGCTAAGCACTGTGGCCGTGCAAGTTGGGGAAAGTCACGCCTCTGGCTAGAAGCAATCCTGGGCCCCAGTACGGAGAGTTACAGAGGGCCTTCCTGCAGGAAGGGAAGAGCTCCCTTCGTCTGTGTGGGTCCAGGGCATGTGATCCGCACAGCACGGGGCTAGCGGGACTGCAGCCCCTCCTCTCTCAGCCGAACGCCTCTCCCCTGGGCTGGCCTGGCTTCCTAGGACTCAGGCGCCAGGTGAGGGCAGAGGGGCCAGGCTCAGGAGAAAATATGGATGGATGCCTGACTCACATGCCCAAAGAGGGATAGGCTATTTGTGAAAGGACCACAGAAGTCTCAGTGTTCTACCCCAGCTGCTACACAAGGATGGTAGCACCACAAAGTTAAAAAGCATTTTAATTTAGGGCTTTGTTTGTTATTAATTTTAAGAAAGAGAAGCAATATGGTTGACCTTGGCTTTTAAAATATAGAGTGGGCTTATAAAAAACATGTAGTCTGCTTAATGAGGGACAGCTGAGCAAGAGACTCCCCTCCCCAACCCCAGTCTAGCACCAGACCTGCCCTTGGGTGGGACAGTGGGGGGCTCAGCTCTGAGTGCCAGCCCCTGCGGTGCTGCCACCCTGGGAAAGCTCCCACCTCTGAAAGCACCTGCCAGCAGGTCCCTCAGCGACCGAGGGAAGGAAATGGGGTCCGGGGTCCAAGGGAAGCAGGAAGCAGTTTGGAAGAAACTCAGGCTCAGAGACAGCCTCCCAGTAAGTCACTGGTTTGTTTGATGTCATTAAATTGGTTGGCTGTGCCTAGTATCAGCCAATATGCCGCACAGAAGCAAGCTTTCCCCTCAGCAGGGGCATGGCACAGAAGACCGAATGAACAAGAAACAGAAACGCAGGCTTCTCCGTGGTTCTCCAGCTCCCCCGTTAGGGCCTCGAGGTTCAAAAAGGCCACGGGACAGGGCCTGTGGGGGAGCCCTGCCTCCTCCCTCCGGCCTCTCACCACATTGAATTCGGCCGCTGCCCCACTCTCTCCCTGCCTCTTGTAGAGCGGGCTGTTATGTCCTGTTGTCTTCTCCCAAGAGCCGTGGAGGTCATAGGCCATAAGGCTCATGAAATCCAGGTTCCTGCAAAAGACATGAAGGCGGGGAGGCACTGGTGAGCAGGGTCTTGCCCTCCCCTCTCCTGGCCCCCTCTCACCCCACAGGCAGTGTGTGGCCCAGGGAGGGACCTTCAGGGTAAGGGGCAGGGTTACAGGCTCACCTCTGGCTCTGTTAAAAGTGACTAGACGTCACACTCCCCCTGCCCCACCATCGAAGCCATTTGCGGTCACGCTATGAGGTTGGCAGCTTGAGCCTCTAGCATCCTCCCCTCACACTCTCTGGTCCATTCCGTGGGGACACTTAGTGCTATTTTGGAGGGAATTCTAGCGCAGTGCTTCTCAAACTTTAGTGTGTACATGACTCTCCCAGAAATCTCTGAAGTGCAGATTCTGCCCCAGCAGGCCTGGGGGGAACCTGAGGCTCCACATTTAACAGGCACCCGGTCCACACTCAACACCTCGGGGAGCAAGGAGCTAGAAACCTGGTCTTCTTGGAAATGCTGCAGCTCATTCTTTCCCCTCCCGGGTTGGCTGCTGGAAGGGTGGGGCTTTCCCAAAAGGATACCTTGCATGGTGAGAATTAAGGATATAATGGGTCTGTAATGTCCAGTACAAGGCGGTAAAGGGTAGCTATGATCATGACCCTGAGAACACGGGGCCCATGAGTCCCGAAAGGATACCTTGCATGGTGAGAATTAAGGATATAATGGGTCTATAATGTCCAGTACAAGGCAGTAAAGGGTAGCTATGATCATGACCCTGAGAACACGGGGCCCATGAGCCCGACTCACTGAGCAATTTTGTCCACCTCATATCCAGCCTCTATGTACTGTCGCCCTCCTGGGACAGCTGCGCTCAGAAGGAGGCGTTCCTTCCCCGAGGCTTGGGCTTCCTGCCGGAAGGCGTTGGCCAGGTCCTGCAGGGGGAGCTTAGAGTGAACCGGGAGGCCAGCCCCTGTGAGCCTCAAGTCTGAAAAGTGGCCGCAGGGCTGGCTGTGCTGTGCAACACATGAAGCAGCTGATCCTGGGGCACATGTCCTGGGGGACCACAGCTCGGGGCCCTCGGGCCAGCTGGGTGACCCCCGTCCTGCCCAGACATACCTGCACCAGGGCTGTGAAGTGCTGCTTGTCGGAGGGAGGGCTTCCCCGGCTTCCTGGGTGCTCCCAGTCAAGGTCAAGGCCGTCAAAGCCATGTTTGCGCAGAAACCCAATGGCTGAGTTGACAAAGGTCTGCCGATTGCCGGCTGTGGCCACCATGTCTGTGAACCTGCGGGGTAACGACAGGCAGCATGGCCCTGAGACATGCCAGGTGGAGCCACGCCCTTCCTGAGGTGGAAAGTGTACTCAGGGTGCTGGGGCCCAGCTGTCCAGGCCAGAGGGCTGTTTCAGAGGCTGCTGGGGTATTTGCTGGCGAGTCACCAGCTGGCTCAGGCAAAGGGGCCAGCTAGACGCGTGTCCTGTCCCCACACATTGACCAGCAGGTGCGTGTCAACTCGCCAGGAGCCTCTGCTTCCCAAAGTTCCCTCCAGAAGCCTACTACCATGTCTCTGCTCAGGGGGTTGTCCTCCCCCGAATGGGTGCTGTCAGCCAGCAAGGAGGCTTAGAAAATAAGAGGAATCTGCTTCGAAGGGAAAAGGGAAGTGCGGAGAGGGGAGTGAGGGTCTGCGTCACACGGGAACCTGCCACGCCAGCTCCCTGCTGGGTTAACGTGGCCACTTGTCTTCAGACTCACATTCAGAGGATGCTTTGTTTGTGCTACTGCTCAGGGGGGTCCAGAGCTCTTCCGAATCCTCCAGCTTCCCCAGGAGCCACATCCCCACATCCGCCTTCCTCAGTATCCCTGTAAGAGGTCTCCAGACATCTTGGGGAGCTTGAGTGTCTTATAGACTGATTCTATTTTAATCTACTTTTTTATAAATTTAACTTAATAGCAGCAGTTCTTGAGAGGGGTCCATGTGCCTGGGAACCCCTGCATTTCAATGAAAAATCTGTATACACAGTATTTTGGGAAGGTGAGTCATTAATTTCATCAGGTTTCCAAAAAGGCTTGTGATCCAAAAAAGCTTTAGAAAGACTGGTTTAAAACTCTGGAACCATATAGTCTAACTTTGTAGGAAAAGTCTACTTCCAAATATCCCATTCCATTATCTCCACAAATCATCAAAAATGTCCTAGAAATGCCAATATTTTGGCATCCAAGCTCAACCTTACCGTCTTTGATGCCCAGAAGTGGGATAAGAATTCTCAGGCAAGATATCCTGTTTCGGAGCTCAGAAAATGCAGACACCGTTTGTTGCCTGGCATTAGCTGGAAACCCTCCCAATACCCATTTCATGAAGGAAGAGACCGAGGCCTGGAAGAGGTCAGGATCTCTGTGCCCGGTTTTGAGTCTGTGCTGCTCCTGGAGGGACTGGCTGTAAAATAGCCTGGAGCCAAGCCCACTCCTTCCCCCCACCCTGTGCGGCACCAAGAGCCCCAGGAAGGTCAGCCCCAGGGTCCAGGCCGTCCTGCTCTGCCTCCCCCTGCCCGTCCTCAGCTTGGCCCAGTTCCCCGACAGCACTCATTCTGCTCTGTGAGCTGGCTCCCCACCCAGCGGCCCTGCCATACAGAGGTGTCCACAGTCAACTCACTTCTGCGTGCCGAAGTTCCAGCCCCCAACAGCCAGTAGTGTCTTCAGCTTGGGATTCCTGGGAAAGATGAGAAATTGCAGAATTCACTCAGCCAGTTCCCAGGGCTCACCTCGCCGACTGGGAAAGCCAGGGGCTGGAAGGAGCCCCAGAATGGCTGGCGGGGTTGGGGAGCAGGGTGCACAAGTCCCTACACGCAGAGCCTATACTGGGGAAGCTGTCAATTTGGAAAGAAATGGCACGGCCCTGCCTCGTTCCAGGATTTGAGGACCCCCTTCCAGCTGGGGAAGCGAGGGATAAGGGCGGATCCTCAGAGATTTGTCAAGAGGTAGCAGTGCAGCTGAAGGATGGATAGATTTTAGGATGAAGGCCATGCAGTCCCCGCAGAGAAAAGCAATTTCACAATCCAGATTCCACTTAGGCCTGAACTGGAAGGACCCTTCAGGAGTCCCTGTCTTCCTCCGTGGGGGAAGCTCAGGAAAGCCCAGAGAGGTGATGCAACTTCTCCAAAGCCACACAGCAGCTCTGTCTTCAGACTGCCGTGCTGGGGAAGGTTTCTGGCTCTGAGAGGGGGTACCTGCCTCTCCACCTCCCATCCCCCCTCTGCCACAGCTCACATCTTCTTCAGGGCATTGAACTCCGCGTAGAGCTTCTCATCATTCCACTCTATGGTGCTGAGCTGGTGGTTGGTCATGCCGGCAAAGGCATAGATGAGATGGGTGCACAGACTGGGGTTCACGTCCTTAGGCATGAAGCGGGCAGGCTCCTGTCTGTACTGGGACCAGTTGGTGAAGTAGCAGACCAGTTTTGCAGTAGATCCTGGCCAGGTGTGACAAAGAAAACGAATGGTGATCAGAAGGGCCTGTGGGGACGGGTGCCCTCTGCCCCAGAGCAGAACCCACAGAAGGCCAGAGGGTGTGAGATATGGCCCTTCATCTGCTGAAGGCCGGGGGGGCAGAGCCTCCAAGCACAGCTTGAAATGCTTCAGAATGTGAATCAGAGCGCAAATATAGGAAGCAGCAGAGAGGAGCCCTAGTTACCGGCCCAGGCCTATGTTTCTTCGGTCCGGCTTTAAAGAGGTCTGCACTCATTTTCTTGTTATCCCTTGAAGAGAATCTATGTTTATTAAAATCACTGATAAGTTTCGAAGAAAGAGCTTATTTTATCTAGAAAGAGATAGCTTGCTTCTGGCATTCCCTATAGTATGTGGGAAGACTTTCTCGGGGGCCCTCTCTTCCCAGAGGGTTGGTCTAGCGGCGAAGGCCCCACGGAGGTCAGCGCTGTGCTAGGACCAGGACACCAGGAAGGAAGATTGCTAGTCTCCATCCCCAAACCTGCTGGAAATGCACTTTGGGTCCATTTCTTCCTCCTTGGCCCTGGGGTCCCCTCTGAAAACAACTGTGTGGTCTCTGGGGTCTTTTCCATCCCCACCGTCTGTCATGGTGTGGTTTGTACAGGCCAGCGTTTTGTGCCAGGGACTTGGCAGAATGGTGAGTTTGGACTGGAGCACCCTGTGGTCGCTGTCTAGATCCTGGGACTCGCCACTGTCCCAACACTGTCTCACTCCCCTCAACTTCCCTTTGGCCAGTGAGGTGGGGAGGAGGGCTTGGGGGGGCAGGGCTGTGTGGGAACCCAGAGCATGCAGAGCTGGCCGGGCCTCCCCTGGGCTCCCGGACGGCTCCTGGAGGAGAGGCTGGAGCCCGTGGGCATCCCCGGCCCTGACCAGAGGCCACCCAGGAGTGGAGCCCGTTGGTGGGGGCTGGGGTGGAGCGCAGTGATACAGAGGGAGGCCCGGTGGGCTCCCCGAAGCAAACGAAGGAAGGAGGGAGACCATCCCTGGGACCATCTGGGAAGAAGCCAGGAGGATTTTTTTTTTTTCACATCATTCCCTATCAAATAGGAATGGACGTCTGTACTGTGCAGGCAATAAGGGGAGGTGGTTAGGAGCAGGGACTATGGAATGTCAATGCCTGGGTGGAAATCCAGACTCTGCAGCTTCCTAGCTGGGTGACTCAGCATCCTCCTCTGTGGGACGGAAAGCATCGTTCCAATCAAAGGACTATTTTATGCATGAAGAGTTAATACATGTGAAACACTTTGAAAAGTGTTGGCAGATAGTAAGCTCTGTTCTACACGCACGCACACACACGCACACACACACACACACACACACAGACACACACACACACACATCTCTGCCATACCATACTCCCACAGGGAGCTTAGACTTCAGATTTTTGGGAAATCTTCAACCTCTTTCTCCCCCTTGTTGTACTTGGCTCCTGGCTGTTACCTCCTATGAGACCAAGAGGGGAGATATGTGTCTAGTGCCCCTGCCTGGCTTCAGGGCGAGGGTCTGGGGGCCCGCTGATGCACAGGAAGTGGGTGGGATGGGAAAGGAACCCAGGAGTCCAAAGTGCTGGATGAACCCAGAAAACTCTGTCCTCTGTGACCCCAGAAGGAGCCCCTCCTGGCTCCCCCAAGCCCCACATGCAGTCGGTTCCAACAGACACAGGATGGAGTGTGGTGTTCTTGCTGGAGCCAAGGGGCTGGGTGAGACGTGGGTTCCCTACCTGCAATAGCTCAGAGCCTGGCAGGGGAGACACCTAAGCCAGTGACTAAAAACACTGAGATGCATACTGTAAAATGTGCTATGAGGGCACAGAGCTTGGAGCAAATGACTCAGGAAAGACCTGAGAGAGGTGACATTTAAGCTGGTGCCATGGACATGCAGGTCAGGTAGTGAGTAAGGCGTGTGGGGAAAATGGAAGCGCCTATGCCTGGCATTAGCTGGAAACCCTCCCAATACCCATTTCATGAAGGAAGAGACCGAGGCCTGGAAGAGGTCAGGATCTCTGTGCCCGGTTTTGAGTCTGTGCTGCTCCTGGAGGGACTGGCTGTAAAATAGCCTGGAGCCAAGCCCACTCCTTCCCCCCACCCTGTGCGGCACCAAGAGCCCCAGGAAGGTCAGCCCCAGGGTCCAGGCCGTCCTGCTCTGCCTCCCCCTGCCCGTCCTCAGCTTGGCCCAGTTCCCCGACAGCACTCATTCTGCTCTGTGAGCTGGCTCCCCACCCAGCGGCCCTGCCATACAGAGGTGTCCACAGTCAACTCACTTCTGCGTGCCGAAGTTCCAGCCCCCAACAGCCAGTAGTGTCTTCAGCTTGGGATTCCTGGGAAAGATGAGAAATTGCAGAATTCACTCAGCCAGTTCCCAGGGCTCACCTCGCCGACTGGGAAAGCCAGGGGCTGGAAGGAGCCCCAGAATGGCTGGCGGGGTTGGGGAGCAGGGTGCACAAGTCCCTACACGCAGAGCCTATACTGGGGAAGCTGTCAATTTGGAAAGAAATGGCACGGCCCTGCCTCGTTCCAGGATTTGAGGACCCCCTTCCAGCTGGGGAAGCGAGGGATAAGGGCGGATCCTCAGAGATTTGTCAAGAGGTAGCAGTGCAGCTGAAGGATAGATAGATTTTAGGATGAAGGCCATGCAGTCCCCGCAGAGAAAAGCAATTTCACAATCCAGATTCCACTTAGGCCTGAACTGGAAGGACCCTTCAGGAGTCCCTGTCTTCCTCCGTGGGGGAAGCTCAGGAAAGCCCAGAGAGGTGATGCAACTTCTCCAAAGCCACACAGCAGCTCTGTCTTCAGACTGCCGTGCTGGGGAAGGTTTCTGGCTCTGAGAGGGGGTACCTGCCTCTCCACCTCCCATCCCCCCTCTGCCACAGCTCACATCTTCTTCAGGGCATTGAACTCCGCGTAGAGCTTCTCATCATTCCACTCTATGGTGCTGAGCTGGTGGTTGGTCATGCCGGCAAAGGCATAGATGAGATGGGTGCACAGACTGGGGTTCACGTCCTTAGGCATGAAGCGGGCAGGCTCCTGTCTGTACTGGGACCAGTTGGTGAAGTAGCAGACCAGTTTTGCAGCAGATCCTGGCCAGGTGTGACAAAGAAAACGAATGGTGATCAGAAGGGCCTGTGGGGACGGGTGCCCTCTGCCCCAGAGCAGAACCCACAGAAGGCCAGAGGGTGTGAGATATGGCCCTTCATCTGCTGAAGGCCGGGGGGCAGAGCCTCCAAGCACAGCTTGAAATGCTTCAGAATGTGAATCAGAGCGCAAATATAGGAAGCAGCAGAGAGGAGCCCTAGTTACCGGCCCAGGCCTATGTTTCTTCGGTCCGGCTTTAAAGAGGTCTGCACTCATTTTCTTGTTATCCCTTGAAGAGAATCTATGTTTATTAAAATCACTGATAAGTTTCGAAGAAAGAGCTTATTTTATCTAGAAAGAGATAGCTTGCTTCTGGCATTCCCTATAGTATGTGGGAAGACTTTCTCGGGGGCCCTCTCTTCCCAGAGGGTTGGTCTAGCGGCGAAGGCCCCACGGAGGTCAGCGCTGTGCTAGGACCAGGACACCAGGAAGGAAGATTGCTAGTCTCCATCCCCAAACCTGCTGGAAATGCACTTTGGGTCCATTTCTTCCTCCTTGGCCCTGGGGTCCCCTCTGAAAACAACTGTGTGGTCTCTGGGGTCTTTTCCATCCCCACCGTCTGTCATGGTGTGGTTTGTACAGGCCAGCGTTTTGTGCCAGGGACTTGGCAGAATGGTGAGTTTGGACTGGAGCACCCTGTGGTCGCTGTCTAGATCCTGGGACTCGCCACTGTCCCAACACTGTCTCACTTCCCTCAACTTCCCTTTGGCCAGTGAGGTGGGGAGGAGGGCTTGGGGGGGCAGGGCTGTGTGGGAACCCAGAGCATGCAGAGCTGGCCGGGCCTCCCCTGGGCTCCCGGACGGCTCCTGGAGGAGAGGCTGGAGCCCGTGGGCATCCCCGGCCCTGACCAGAGGCCACCCAGGAGTGGAGCCCGTTGGTGGGGGCTGGGGTGGAGCGCAGTGATACAGAGGGAGGCCCGGTGGGCTCCCCGAAGCAAACGAAGGAAGGAGGGAGACCATCCCTGGGACCATCTGGGAAGAAGCCAGGAGGATTTTTTTTTTTTCACATCATTCCCTATCAAATAGGAATGGACGTCTGTACTGTGCAGGCAATAAGGGGAGGTGGTTAGGAGCAGGGACTCTGGAATGTCAATGCCTGGGTGGAAATCCTGACTCTGCAGCTTCCTAGCTGGGTGACTCAGCATCCTCCTCTGTGGGACGGAAAGCATCGTTCCAATCAAAGGACTATTTTATGCATGAAGAGTTAATACATGTGAAACACTTTGAAAAGTGTTGGCAGATAGTAAGCTCTGTTCTACACGCACGCACACACACGCACACACACACACACACACACACAGACACACACACACACACACACATCTCTGCCATACCATACTCCCACAGGGAGCTTAGACTTCAGATTTTTGGGAAATCTTCAACCTCTTTCTCCCCCTTGTTGTACTTGGCTCCTGGCTGTTACCTCCTATGAGACCAAGAGGGGAGATATGTGTCTAGTGCCCCTGCCTGGCTTCAGGGCGAGGGTCTGGGGGCCCGCTGATGCACAGGAAGTGGGTGGGATGGGAAAGGAACCCAGGAGTCCAAAGTGCTGGATGAACCCAGAAAGCTCTGTCCTATGTGACCCCAGAAGGAGCCCCTCCTGGCTCCCCCAAGCCCCACATGCAGTCGGTTCCAACAGACACAGGATGGAGTGTGGTGTTCTTGCTGGAGCCAAGGGGCTGGGTGAGACGTGGGTTCCCTACCTGCAATAGCTCAGAGCCTGGCAGGGGAGGCACCTAAGCCAGTGACTAAAAACACTGAGATGCATACTGTAAAATGTGCTATGAGGGCACAGAGCTTGGAGCAAATGACTCAGGAAAGACCTGAGAGAGGTGACATTTAAGCTGGTGCCATGGACATGCAGGTCAGGTAGTGAGTAAGGCGTGTGGGGAAAATGGAAGCGCCTATGGCCAGGATCCTCACCTGACCCTGAACTGCTGATGATGCAGTTGGCCTGCTGTCAGACTAATGCTTCCACACCTGTAGGCAATGAGCTATTATTGACTGAGTCACTGTATAAAGAGCTCTGCCAGTGCTCTGGGAGGAGGCACAGGTGGAGGTGGATTATGGGCCTGCAGACTGCTGGGTGCAGACGTGATCCTAGTGCTCGACCTGCCGCCAGGAGAATAAAGCCAGGTATAAACCCTCTGACCCCAAGAACGTTCCTCTCACTGAATCCATAGTGAACTTGCCTGGGGCTGAAACCCTCAGGCAAGACAGACAAGAACCTTCCAGGAAGAAGGAATAGAAGAGCTGCATGGGAACAAGGATATGTGCAGGGGGCTGAGACTTCGAGAAGAGTTCCCACTGAAATCTGGCAAGAGCTCTTGGTGTAAGGGAGGGGCTGGGGGCAGTGGGGGTGGAGAGCGAGTGGGGATGGAGCAGAGACAGGGAGGAGGCTCAGGGATCCAGGCCGGGCCTCCAGACAGGTGCCACTTACCACCTTGGTGCTGGGGCATCATTGGAGCTGTCAAACCTGAAAGGGCACGAGAGAAAGGGTGGAGGTTTAGTGGTCACGCACACGTCCCCAGGCCCGGGTGCCTCCTCAGGCACAGGAGGTGCAGACGGTTTAGGGAGGGATGGCCTCAGGGTGGTTTCCTGCAAACCAAGCTTCCTCTGCCCAGAAGTGGTCCTGAAGGGCACTGTGTCCATCCCTTCACCCAGTCCAGACAGCAGGGGCCCCTCTCTGGCCTGGGCTAGACCCCGGGCTGATGGAAGCTTCCTTGAGCTGAGGCTGTCCCCCTCTCTAGAGCATCAGTGCAGGGTGGTGTGGATTCAGGAAGATTCTAGGAAAACCACTGACTTGTGAGGTGTACAGAGAGAAAGTTTTCTATTTTGGAACAAGCAGAAAACCTTTCATGGGGCTGAAAAGAGCCAATATGGAAGGGCCAAGCCAGAGATTCCGTCTCTCAGTGAGGCCTCTGTGCCTCCACTCACAGCCACTATTTATGACTTTCTGCTGGTTTCTGGATGCACCCCACAAGAGATTAGCTGAATTACCAACATACTTGGAGACTTAAAGCTTGGCAGAACATCTTTAAAAAGATTTATTTCACCTTCCTGGTGACCCTGGAGTTCCTAATAACACCTGCGTGAGAATTTTAAGGACATGAGGCTCATGGCTCCCAAGCTGCCCTCTTGCTGGGCAACCAGCCTGGGGTCAAAGAGGCACCACCCCTTGGCAGTGGGCACTTCTCAGATAAAGCCAAAAGTAAGGGCCTAGGAACATAAGAAAAACAAAACTACCCAAGGCAAGGCTAGGAGGGGGGAAAAGTCCTTGGCAGTTTGCTGAGAAAGTCTTTCCTTGCAACAAGGGTTCCTGGGCCAGAGAGCCTGAGGGAAGCCCAGAGGAGAGGAAGCTGTCCCGAGTGCCCCAGCTTCCTGGCAGACAGCACCATCACCATGCCCATCTCCACGTCCCCACAGCTCCCGGGGCCCAGCCCACTCACTGGCCCAGGC